CATTAATATTCAATATTGAGTGGTGTTAGATGAGTAGATGATTTCTTCATCTTTGGAATTTTTTTGTAGTTGGTAGACAATTTTAGAAGATTGGTGGGTACTAGATGATGTGTTCTTGAATATGTAGGCCATATTATTTCATATTGGTGCCTGTACAGGCTATTCATATGTTGCCATAGGAACCCGCATGAAGAGAGATGATGAACTCTTCAGAGTTCATTTATGGGAGCATTGCACATGTTGCGCCCTAGTGTCGTAACGTGTCGCACTTCGTTGTAGTGGGTTTTTTCGCGCGAAATTACTATTCTGACTTTTTGGCTAAGTTAAGCACGAATTCACCCCGTTTGAAAAAAGTGTATCTGACCTTTTTTGGTGACGCCAACATCCCGCGTCCCGTTTGCATGGGAGACATCGTGGTCCCTGGTGTTTCCTCCTGGTCCACACATCATAGACCTCGACTTTTACCCTCGACCCAAAACGCCACGGACCATGGTGTTTTCTCCTGATAAGTCATCCAGCCGCGCAGGCCCAACCCACTCCATCTCCCCTATCCTCTAGCGGCGATTGAGCTAGCGCACGAACAGAGAGGGTTCTCTCTCGCCCCTTCCCTCTCCCCTCACCAAATCCTCAAGATATACTCATTCCACCACTCAAAATCGTGGATCTGAGGCCCCTAAGCATCCTCAAGGTACTCTTGCCCCTTCCCTCCAATTTATTTCGATTGAATCCTCTTCTTTTTTATTATGGTGTTAGATGAGTAGATGGTTTGTTCATTTTAGGGGGGAAATGTAGTTTGTAGATTATTTTAGATGATTGATAGGTACTAGATGATGCGTTGTTGAATTTGTAGGCCATATTAATTTGGATTGGTGCCTATATAGGCTATCCGTATGTTGTCATATGAACCCACATGAAAAGATATGATGAACATCTAATGGTTGTATATGGTATGGTTTGTTTGAGATCTTGGTTTGGTTATAGATGATTAATATTTGCATATGTTGTCCCATGGGATATTATCGAGAGAGATGATGAAGAGATGATGGTTGTATGTGATATTGTTTGTGTTGATAATCTTGCTTGGTTTATAAATGATGTGTGTGTATGTGCTAGCAATTTGGTTTTTTGCTTGCAAGCAAGTTCATTATGTTCAGATGATGTGTGTATGTGGTATGAAAATATATGATGTGTGGGTATGTGTCGGGGTCTAGGATCTGTGTCCAAGAAACTTCTCCAACAACTAGGGTTCGAACTCTAGGGGGGTTTGCTTGGCGACCTAAGACACTGCGACGACTACGACTGGACTGCCACGGGCACGCTGGCTCTCATCGGGCACGAAGGGGATGTGCGAGCTACCCAGGTTCGGGCCACCGTGCTGGTGTAAATACCCTACTCCTGCCTATGTTGGGTTGCTCTGTAATGGAGAGCTTGTGGCTCGAGGTACACGAGAGGTTGGGAGAATGGCTTGATCCCCTTACATGGAGGCGGCGTTGCCCCCTTTGTAGTGCCTTGGTCCCCTTCCCCAGAAATATGAGCGGGAAAGGGTGGCCATAGGGCGGCAATTCAAAGGGGGACAGGGGCCTATGCCTATCCTCACTAAAGGCGGTTTTCGCCTGGTAAAGTAGTCTTCATGACACATTGGTGGGCTCGGCGATGACCTCTGCCCTGGCATGCCGATCCATCCTAATCTTCTTTCACCAGAGAGGAAATGCTTTGGGAATTGCTTTGGGAGAGACAGCGGACGCTGCTCCCTTGTCACCAGAATGGAAACTGGGCTTGGTCATGCCCCACCGTCCTTATCCTGACAGCGGGCATCCATGTGATGGGCGTGGAGCCCCGCTGCCGGCGCCGTACGACCTGCCTCATGAGGCGACCTCGTGAGAGGAGCCTCGCGAGGTAGCCCGGTGCTTGGCAGCCTCGGCAGGGCTCTGCCCCGCAGCAAGGGGCCTCGCGAGGGCAACCTGTCATGGGCCGGCCCAGGTGCCGCCCTTTTGGCCAGAGGAAGATGGGTCGTGGTACCGTGGTTCCCACTGGGCGACAGTAGCCCCCGGGCCTGCGGCGTGCATGTTCGCCCGTTAGGAGCGAAATGGCACGGGGCCCATTGAGCTGTCGGGCCCAGAGGGCGACGCGTGGCGGCTTTTACGGGGCGGGACGCCCCCACTTCCCAGGAGCCTTGGTAATCGCCGACCTGGGGATAAGCCTGGGCGCGTAGGGCGCAAGCACATCATTACTTTGTTGGGGAACGCAGTATTTCAAAAAAAATCCTACGATCATGCAAGATCTAGGGATGCATAGCAACGAGAGTTGAACTTTATTTTGCCATGCTGTTTTGAGAAGACATGATTGCTTAGTTAGTATGCTTGAAGTATTATTATTTTTATGTCAATATTAAACTTTTGTCTTGAATCTTTCGGATCTGAACATTCATGCCACAATAAAGAAAATTACATTGAGAATTATGCTAGGTAGCATTCCACATCAAAAATCATGTTTTTCTCATTTACCTACTCAAGGACGAGCAGGAATTAAGCTTGGAGATGCTTGATACGTCTCCAACGTATCTATAATTTTTTATTGTTCCATGCTATTATATTATCTATTTTGGATGTTAATGGGCTTATTTATACACTTTTATATTATTTTTGGGACTAACCTACTAACCCAAGGCCCAGTGCAAATTGCTGTTTTTTTGTGCCTATTTCAGTGTTTCGCAGAAAAGGAATATCAAACGGAATCCAAATAGAATGAAACCTTCGGGAGAGTTTTTTTGGAACAAACGTGATCCAGGGGACTTGGGGTGGACGTCAAGAAATCAACAAGGAGGCCACGTGGCAGGGAGGCGCGCCTGCCCCCTGGGCGCGCCCCCACCCTCGTGGGACCCTCGTGGCTCCACCGACCTACTTCTTCCTCCTATATATATCCATATACCCTGAAAACATCCAGGAGCATCACGAAACCCTATTTCCACCGCCGCAACCTTCTGTATCCAAGAGATCCCATCTTGGGACCTTTTCCGGAGCTCCGCCGAAGTGGGGATCGATCACGGAGGGCTTCTACATCAACACCATAGCCTCTCCGATGATGTGTGAGTAGTTTACCACGGACCTTTGGGTCCATAGTTATTAGCTAGATGGTTTCTTCTCTCTCTTTGGATCTCAATACAAAGTTCTCCTTGATTCTCTTGGAGATCTATTCGATGTAACTCTTTTTGCGGTGTGTTTGTCGAGATCCGATGAATTGTGTGTTTATGATCAAGTTTATCTATGAACAATATTTGATTCTTCTCTGAAATCTTTTTTATGTATGATTGGTTATCTTTGCAAGTCTCTTCGAATTATCAGTTTGGTTTGGCCTACTAGATTGATCTTTCTTGCAATGGGAGAAGTGCTTGGCTTTGGGTTCAATCTTGCGGTGTCCTTTCCCAGTGACAGCAGGGGCAGCAAGGCACGTATTGTATTGTTGCCATCAAGGATAAAAAGATGGGGTTTATATCATATTTCTTGAGTTTATCCCTCTACATCATGTCATCTTGCCTGATGCGTTACTCTGCTCTTATGAACTTAATACTCTAGATGCATGCTGGATAGCGACCGATGTGTGGAGTAATAGTAGTAGATGCAGAATCATTTCGGTCTACTTGTCGCGGACGTGATGCCTATATACATGATCATGCCTAGATATTCTCATAAGTATACACTTTTCTATCAA